AAAAAAAAAGAAATAGGAAAGTCATGCTATGGAGAGCAGGAGTGTGTCTGTACATTCCTATATGTACATATCATATAATTAAATTACAGAGTAAAATATAGGCATAGAAGAAAGCTAATCTACACATTGCCAGTGAAGTTGATATTGAATTTATGTTTACAGTTTTGGAGTGACACCACTTCCTAGTACTATAAATGTTGCTTTCAAAAAAGTCATAAAGGTTAGTAACATTGACAGTGTTTGTAACCCTAGCACTTAGCACAGTGCCTGGCACATGGTTCATTACATGTTTGTATGAATACCTGATGCTGAAATCAACCCATATAATTCCAGTTAGAAACTTGGTGTTTTGATAAGTTAAACAGCTACACCTATTTATACTAGGTGCTTTCTATGATAGTGCTACTTTGGGAGTGTGTTCCTGTTCACCATTGGTATTTTTAAATTCATTCAGTGTGGATTTGTTTGCAGAAGAGTCCAGAGAGCCCCATTATATGGGGTCCTGACCTATGAGGCATATATTCTTACTACAACATTGCCCTGTAGAGAGGACCCAAACTATTTGAGGTATCCTTTGGGTTCCATTGAAACGCCTTAGAGTTTCTTTAAAGATACTGAGAAAATTGCTCTTTCCCCCAATAGAGACACTGGACAGTTTTTACTGATACTAAATTCAAAGTGGTTTATACCATGTTGAGTTTACCAAGTTTATACCAAGTTGAGTTTAATTTGATTGCTTTTCTATTTCTGTAATAATAGTTTTCTTTAAAACTGATTATCTGGTCATCATTGACATCCATGAGAGAACAATAGTGGATGGGCACAGTCAGGAGTTACATTACCAGGAAGATTAGGGTTTGGAAAGGCATTAAAAGCACTGTTATTAAAATGAAAGCCCTTAATCTATAAAAGAAAAAAAATTAAATTTCAGCAAGCATGAAATGTAGAATTAAGTCATAGTGTGCTAGTCTGCTATACAGACAATATTAGTTGTCTGTTTACCAGACTAGCCACCTTGGAGCAGAATATGGAATATCTAATTTAAATTTCTTCTTTAGTTGAAACACCATAATAAATAAACATCTTTTCAATCCTATGAAATTCTGTGTTTGTTGTTTAGTAGCAAGTGTGAATTGGGTAGTTTCTGAATATAAGATTTTTATGTGAGTGAATTCACATTTTTCTCTCTTATATTTCCCAACACACCTCTCCATTCATGAGTGTCTTTGAGCTGATACCTGGTGCCAGATATCTTGGAGTAAAGGTTTTAGAACAGTTGTGGAAAAGTGATGATTTGATCTAGCCTCATGTTATGGCATAAGTCAATCTCTTAAAAGAAGGTGGCTAGGTTTTATAGATGGACAGACATGAATCTAGCTGAGAACAAATTGTTCTGTGAGAGAGGCATCATTCAGACTTGCATGCATCTGTCAACTGCCTGTGGTGGCACAGCCAGATAAAGTGATCTGTAATGTCTCTCTAGTGTGTCCCTATTACTAGCCATATTGTAATGTGTAATACATCTCTTGGGCAGACAGCTTGTGTGGGCTGGATTCCACCTCAGTCTTGTAAAGATGCCCGGAACCATCAAAGTGAATTTTTTAAGCCTATTTAAATATTTAGACTAATGGCTAATTTTAGTGAAATCTCTGCTCTGTTTGCTACAAGTGAGATGGAATTTCAAGTTTATGGCTTCCTCACTTATTAACTGTGTGACCGTGGGTTGACAAATTATTAATTTCTGTCCATTTCTGTATCAGGAAAGGAAGATTATAAGAGCATTTGCCTTATAAGGTTGTCCTGTGGATTTGGGCAGTTCATATGTATAAAGCGTATGGAAGAGTGAGTGCCTCGTGCTTAAATGTTAGTTGCCCCCACCATCACCACCATCATCTACATAATTTGGAGTGAGATGAATTTTCCTTCCCTGAAGCTAGATTGCCTTTTTTTTTTTAAGAAAGACCACATCTCTATCAAGGATGTGGTCAACCCCAATTCTAATACAGAAGCTCACTGTCTTGTGAAATCTACAAGTTTATCTTCAGCTAAAGTGTAATATAATATATTGTAGTATTATATATCATACTATATATTATGTAAAGTTTATGTTACTTTTAAAAGTACATATTATTTTGTATTACTTTAAAAAGTATATATTTCTTTCAGAAGTATAGTACATTATAGTAAAGTATAATATCACTAAAATGGATGAAGAAATTTATAATTTGCTATGAGATGATCTACAAGACGTAGTAAGTGAAAAAAGCAAGGGCAAAGTAGTGTGCAAATTATTCTACCACTTATGTAAAAATTCGCTGGTACATGCCTACAATATCTGGCAGGCTACACAAGAAATGGTCTGTTTTCACTTGTTGCTGTCGGGGAGGGAAATTGGATGGCTGGAGACAAGGGTAGGAGACTTTTTACTTATATCCTTTTTCTATTTTAGATTATCGAATCACGTGAGTGTATTTCCTAGTTAAAACAACACCAACAGTGGAACGGCTCATTGGGGAGAGAAAGGGACATCTGTAATATTTTAAACAAAAATAAAATTAAAAAATATATATATATTAGGCAGCAGACAGAACTTGGGAGAGCAGAGCTGTGGCAAGAGAGATTGCCTGGAAACTTGGGAGAGTTGAAGGCAAAGCCGAGAGAAGAGAGGCGTCTTCCTCACCGAGGGCGTTAGCAACAGAGGGGAGCCACCTGGTTAAGCAGTATGAGGTTCAAATGAGTGTGAAGGAAAGAGAAATAGACCATGTCGCAGGTTCTGCATGGCTCCAGCACCGATGCCTGGAGTGTAAACATAGGGATGAGCCAAGGTTGGTGACTCAACAGTAATGTAAGAATTAGGACCTTGAGAAGCAAAAAAAAAGTAGGATTTCACCAGTGGTTGTTGAGAAAAGATAGGTCTACAATTGCTTATTCTCAATGCCCAAATCCAGGATGCTCTGAACACTGAAAAATTTTGGTGGCAAAACCTGTACTAAATTGATATAAGACAGCCCGTAATCTTGATTCATGCCTCTTAATGTGAATATGTATAGTTCTGCTGCAGAAATATTCATATATTTGAATATGGGTGACGCCTGGTAGCACTCAGTAATATAGAGGATAGGACAATCTTACATTTCTAACAAAAACAAGCCTGAATTCCACACACAAAACCCCCCCAAAAAACAACAACAAAAGACCTAACACCGTAAAAATGAAAAAGTAAAATAGCTATTTTGAAATCTAGATGTATTTTTATTCATCTTTTATAACCATTCATTTGCCTGCCCTGCTCAAATTCATGATAGGCCTTTAGACTCTTAATTGAGTGTAATTGTTTTCTTTTGATCTGCTGTCCAGCACTAAGCTAAGAATGCTCTTTTGTTCACCATCAGGGATTTGAGTCATAATCGGTTGTCCACCTGGAATATCAGCTTGGAATCTCAGACATTACAAGAAGTGTAAGTTATTTTACTTAAATTTACATTAACTTTGAGGTGACTTAATGGATTGTGAATTTGAGGATGTTCAGTTTAGAAATGCTGTCAAAAAAATTGAAGGAAAAAATTTACATTAAAAGACATTGTTTAAAATATAAACTGTCATCTTTAGCTTTATTGTCATGTACCCTGGGCTGGGCATTGTGCCATTGGGTTGGTGATTGCAAGTTACAAACTGTAGAAATAGTCTTCCTTAGGGCCAAAGTAAGATTTTTCCTCTCTTGAGAGTAAATATGTTTTGTTTGTTTTTTGCCAAAGTTTAAACCACTGAAAACTCTCTCTTGTGTAAACTTTTTAAAATGCCTTTTTTTTGGGTTTTGTTTTAATAGTTTATTGATTTTTAGAGCGGGGCAGGGGAGAGAAACATCATTCAACTGCCTCCTGCACACGCCCTACCGGGGATCGAGCCCACAACCCAGGCATGTACCCTGACCGGGAATTGAACCCCGATCACCTGGATCTTAGGTCTACACTCAACCGCTGAGCCACTCCTGGCTGGGCAAGATTTTTCTTTAATATAGAGATGTATTATTATGTATTCTTTGGAGGAAATTTTCTAAAATAGGTATTATTAATACCAGTTATTGCATTGTAATGTTTCCAGAGGCACAACCATGGAGCCTGTTGTGCCTTTACCTGAAACACCCCCAGAACCCTCAGATTTATTTTTCTTTTTAGTTTCTTGCTGACAGGGTAACTGGTGCTTTCGTTCTTCCTTCATTCTCTCCTTCCCTGGTCCAAATTGACTGCTCTGATTTGCTGCAGTGAATAGAGTTAAGCTTATTAGCTGAGAGAGGAGCACTTAGGAAAGGTGTGAGAATGGTTGAGCTTTCTTATCACAGGGGCTTTGTTCCTGGAGGCCTTTTACTTCAGGTTGTTTTCCTGTATTTTAAATTGTTGAGGTTGTTCACTGATTAAAAACCAGGTTAGTGAAATGTGATTATATTATATTTGCTACGAAAACATTTGAGACAGTCTTTTTATGCTTTTATTGATTTCAGAGAGAGAGAGGGAGAGGGAGAGAGAGAAACATTAGTGAGACAGAGTCGTTGATTCGCTGCCTCCTGCGCACCCCTTACTAGGGATCGTGCCGAAATCCAGGCATGTGCCCTAACTGGTAATCGAACCTTGACCTCTTGGTTCGTGCGTTGATGCTCAACCACTGAGCCACACTGGCCAGGCTTGAGACAATCTATTTTAAAGAGCTGCTGGAATCAGATGGTGACATGTCATGTCATATGTCATCTGTAAAATGTAATCATAGTCTCCATCTCTGGGTTGGTAAAATAGTTATAAACAACTATTCAAAGAACCTTGGTGGGATTAAAAGTATTTAATGTGCAAAATATTTTCTAACCTTTTAAATATTGAGATCAATCATAGATCTATACCATGAAAAAGCATTTCTTATTAAAACATCTACGTTTTCAGTACGATACATTTAGTCTAACTCATTCTAAGTCATAGGTTTTTTTCAGATGTGGCGCCCATCCTAAAGAATATGTATTAGCCAGTAAACCAGAACTCAAGAGGTAGTATATTTCTCTGCTAAACTTTGAATTTTATTTTCCTCCTGTGCCTAGGAAGATGAATTATAACGAGCTAACAGAAATCCCATATTTTGGAGAACCAACCTCTAATATTACTCTACTGTCACTGTAAGTAAATAAGATTTCAGATCTTTCACTTAAATTATGAATAGTACACTTTTTTTTTTATTTGTTTCTTTTAGGTACCCTTATTGTTGATCCCAATTGTTTAACATTCTTGTGGCCTGGGGTGGATCACTGGCAGTAGCTTCAATATAATCTTTGTTTTGTAGAGTCCATAATATAATTGCAGAAATAAATGCAGAGGCGTTCCAGTTTTACCTTGCTCTTGAGAGTTTAGATCTCAGCTCGAATATAATATCAGAAATCAAGACAGCTTCATTTCCTCGAATGCAGCTTAAATACCTGTAAGTTGAATATAGAACCGATTTACCTTATAGTGCATCTTTATTATTTATTGGTACTTATCTTCCCAGAAATGTCTGTTGTTGTGATTTTTTTTTTTTTTTTAAATATATCTTTATTGATTTCAGAGAGAGGAAAGGAGAGGGAGAGAGTGAGATAGAAACATCAATGATGAGAGAGTCATTGATCAGCTGCAGCCGGCAACCTGGGCATGTGCCCTGACCAGGAATCGAACCCCGATGTCCTGGATCCTAGGTCGCCGCTCAATAGCTGAGCCACGCCCAGCCGGGCTGTTACTGTGATTTTGATATGCCATATGAAACAAACCTATGGTCAGTTTTTTGGGGTTTGGGAGATTTTTTTCCACTCCTTAAAGAAAAAGTGCACTGTTCTCAGAAAATATTAAGTATCTAGGGTAATTTTTGAGACGTAATTCTGGATTGTGTTTTACTAACAGTTTTGTAGAAGGTAAATAGAAGTGGCTTGTTAGCGTCCTATGATGATGATAATTAGCATATGCATTAGTGTTTTCCAGTTTATAAGCACATGCACATGTACTGTTTTAACCTAAATGAAGTAGGTTTATCCTTATTTGTAGTTGAAGAAACAAAGCAGTTAAATGATTTGAAAAGTTGTATGCAGTTGCCTTGTGGTAGAGCTGGGGCTCAGTCATAGACTTCGGCCGCTTTCCTGTGGTAGAATTTTTGTTCCACTAATTTTTTGTTGTGATCTTGTTCATTTTAGGAATTTGAGTAATAATAGGATAACCATTTTGGAGGCTGGTTGCTTTGACAATTTATCGAGTTCCTTGTTAGTGGTAAAGTTAAACCGTAACAGAATTAGCATGATTCCACCCAAGATCTTCAAGCTACCTCACCTCCAGTTCTTGTGAGTAACTAAGTAGTTGGATTATAAGAAGATGATTTTTTTTCTTACAGTGTCTTTTCCTTTTTAATTATTAGAACAAATCAGCAAACCAGTTTTCTAACTGTAAAACAATTTTTTTAAAGGGAACTTAAAAGAAACAGGATTAAAGTTGTGGAAGGTCTAACATTCCAAGGGCTGGACTCCTTAAAATCTTTGAAAATGCAGCGGAATGGCATTAGCAAACTTAAGGATGGAGCTTTTTTTGGCTTGGATAACATGGAAGAATTGTAAGTACTATGAACTAGTATAAGAGAGTGTTAGGAAAGGGGTCTGACTGGGACTTTTTAGTGCCAAACAGCTAGGATCGCTGTTATAGTTATACCAGGGTACATTAGTTCTTTTTCCCTTTTCTGATGTGAAATAAGTATACACAAAGCTCTTTAAGTTTTGTTATCTAACTGGCATTTTTGTCATCATTCTCACATTTCCTCTAAATAGTTTGTTCCTTTAATGTTTTGGCTGATAAAAATTATCAGAATTTATCCAGAACATACACCTCTCAGTGTCTTGATTTTATAAATCTGATATTTTACATAGTCTTACTACCTTCTGGCACTAAATCTTAAATAAGATAAAAGTATTTATTGATTAGAACTTGTTGACTCACTTAGGTTGAACAAAGGTATGTGCTTCTCTAAGACTTAATGAAGATTTTTGGAATCTTCTCATTGCACTGCCTGTTATGAAACATATTTTCTCCTTTCTCTAATTCTGCAGAGAACTAGAGCATAATAACCTTACAGAAGTGAACAAGGGATGGTTATATGGCTTGCGAATGTTGCAACAGCTTTATGTGAGCCAGAATGCTGTTGAAAGGATCAGCCCCGATGCATGGGAGTTCTGCCAAAGACTATCTGAACTGTAAGTGTTGGATGGCATTTCAGTGGAGGCCCTGAGACTAGAGCAGGTTGGAATAAATCATTCCCGTGGCCAGTAATAAAATCTGACATCCCTCTTTATTAGAAGCTTGTTGAAAGCTCTAAATTTATTATGTAGATAGAATAAGAATATGAAAATTGAGCTAAAATACAGTGAATTCCTTACCTTTCATGTTTCCTGTTTTCAGTGATTTATCCTATAACCAGTTGACCCGCCTGGATGAATCTGCCTTTGTGGGTCTGAGCTTACTGGAGAGATTGAATTTAGGGGACAACAGAATCACTCACATTGCTGATGGTGTATTTAGGTTTCTGTCCAATCTTCAGACTCTGTAAGTACATCTGTCCTCTTTTTTTCCCCCTCTAATTTTTTAAAGCAGTAAAGCAAATAAAACAACAAATCAGACTACAGATTTATACATGTTAATACTTTGTGGTTCTTCTGTCCTATCATCCCTCAGTGCAAGACATTCTTACTTGTCTCTGTCCCCATCCCTAATTCTTATTTATCTCTAGCGAGTTGTTTGTACTTTAATTCTGAATTAACCAACTAAACAACTAAGCATCTGTTATGCTAGTTATTGTGGAACAAAACACAGTTGCTAGTGTCAGGAATGCATGTTTCCGTCTTCCTTTGACCTTGAACTACCCCCTGGTGTACCAGAACTACCACTTCTCATTCAAGACCATGTAGGATGTGTAGCTCTGTCAGGAGACCTGTTCACTGTTATTTATTTGCTGCTTGATTTTGGACAGAAAAACTAACACTTATTAATGACTTGGTATGTGCCAGGTGCTTTCAGAATACTAGGGTATTATCACTCTTTTCCGTATCAGGAGGCTGAGGTTCAGAGAGATTAAAATGATTTGTTTAAAGTCACATAGCTTATAAAGGTTTGGACCAGGGTTAGAACCCAGGTCTCTCTGATATTAAAGCTCATCTGTTTTTACCATACTACCAGATAAACAGAATCACTTAACCTTTCCTGGGTCATTTTCTTTGTCTCTCTATCCAAAGATGGACATAAGATAGTTGCTGAAGGCAATTTAAGCTCTAAAATTCTGTGGTTCTGTAAGTTGAATGTTCCTTCTGTAAGAAACAGTTTCTTTCAGTATACCCCTGATTATTGTAACATTGAAATTTAATAAAGCAACTGCAGAAGTACATTATTATTAATGCCACAGAGATAGTTAAGGCAGAATTAGGATCAGATCTGAGAAGTTTTGGCTTTAGACCAGTGCTCCTGCCAGAGTAGGTACACCTCGTACCTTTGGTGAATGAGTCCTTACTTGTGCTATGGTGTGGAAGGGGGAGTCCTGAAGGGCTGAGCTGTGTTATTCCTTTAGTAAGTAAGATAGGTGAGCTTTGTTAGCATTCACCTCACGTAAGGGTAGAGCTAAATGGGAAGAGGGATCTGTCTCCTTAGTGTTATTCACACAACTTCACAGCAAAAAGCTTGGTACTTTATCATGAGATGACTTAAGGAAGCAAAAGCAATCGTCTTTAACTGGTATTTCTTCCATCAGGACTTGGTGTGGTGCAATTGCATTGCCTCTCAGAACTGAGCAGTAGATTTTCAAGGATCCATACTTATCCTTTTAAAGAAAACAGTGATCCCTCTAAGCACATGGGTATATCATTCTTGCCTCCCATGGGGCATGTTTAATTGCCTTGGAGCTGTGAAACTGTACTGACATTACTCTTTGTCAGCCTTTTTAGGTTAAAGGCCCAGGGGAAGGCTTGGGTCGCCCAGAAATCCCATTAGTCTGCATCAGATTTGTAAGCCGTATCTCCTGTATCTTGAAATCCTTCTGCTTTTTGCAGGATCCTGACTGTAATTTTAATATGTTAACACATTTAGGGGCTATTAGCTAGAGTGATTGATACTCTTAGCAGGTTGCTTAATTTTTTTTATCAAGGCCAACTTAATTCTTAGCTTATGAGAGTCAGTTTTTAAATGCTTATTGCAGATATTCTTTAAAAAAAGTTATTCGTCATAATTAAGCTTATAAAATAAGGATCAAAATTAACATTGCCATGCCAGAGTGGTGCTCAGTGATGTAATGGTCATGCTAACAGCCTGCCTTTCCCTGACATTTTTGTAGAAACTTAAGAAACAATGAAATTTCATGGGCCATAGAAGATGCTAGTGAAGCCTTTGCTGGACTCACAAGTCTCACTAAATTGTATGTATTTAAAGTATTCATGTATCTGTTTAAAGGGATATTTTCAAGAACCCATTGTAAATGTAACTGGATTTTGTCTCTTTGCTCTGGCTGGGAGTCAGCCTTTTAATTTACTAAGAGAAGAAGCTTTTTTAAAAGCCTCACCTGAGGATATGTTTTTATTGATTTTTAGAGAGAGTGGAAGGGGAGAGAGAGAAACATTGATGTGAGAGGGAAACATTGATCGGTTGCCTCCTGTACTCGCCCCAACCAGGGATTGAACCTGAAACCTTTTCTGTGTACGGGATGATGCTCCAGCCGACTGAGCCACCTGGCCAGGGCTAAAGGAAGAAGCTTTGTTGATTATTAAGTTTCTTGTTTGGGTTTTTTTTTTAAATTTTGTTCTTTGTGATTGGACACTTTCTATTGAAAGAGCATTCTTATGGGCACTTAAAGAGAAGTTGTTTGTGGAATTAGAATATCTATATAAGTAAAAAAAAAAAAAGTGCTGAGAAGCAAGAGTTGAACCAGTAATCTGTTTAATCATGTGAGATTTATGGGTAATTTATCTAACGAGAGGATTCTCTCAAGTTAAGATTTTAGATCTTCTCCCATGAGAATTTCTTCAAGGCTTCACACTTATTTGAATTTCTTTGACCTGATGATCTTTCCCTAAGAAGGGAGGAACTGGGACTATAACCCAGTTTCTTACATGAAAACTGCCAGTGTCAGTAGTCCGGATGGCCGTTCACAGGTAACTCATTGAGCTCTCCCATCTCAACAGAAGCCTTCATTCTCTGTTGGGTATTGGTTAGTCACAAATGTTTGCAACTTTCTTAAACATGCATGTTAAGCGTATTTTCACCTTTTACGGGAGAATGTTTGATTTAATGAATTTAATTTTGTTTATTGGAGCGTTTTCTTAGAAAGCTCTGTTTGTGTTTCAGAATCTTACAAGGAAATCAGATTAAGTCAATTACAAAGAAAGCATTCATTGGTCTTGAATCCCTTGAGCATCTGTAAGTACTTTGCATATATTTTTCTCAGTATATAAATAATCTTTGCTATTAGCAGAAATTTTCATGACCATTTAAAGTGTTTATAGAACTTACTTGTAGAAAGGGTGACTGGTAATGTTTTGTTTCTTTTCATTTCAGAGATTTGAACAACAATGCTATAATGTCTATCCAAGAAAATGCTTTTTCTCAGACTCGCTTGAAAGAACTGTACGTAACTTTAGTATTTTTTTGTCACCAGTTAGATCATTATCCATGCTTGTGCTTAAAGTGTGATGAATGTGACCCAGATGTTTTCATAAGTACACAGTTCAGGCAGGAAAAAAGGGTTATTATACAGTTATATTGTGGCTGGATATAATTTAAAAATAACCCAACATTGAAAAGCGTAGTGTGGCACCACGACGTCTGTTTGTCTGTGCTCGTTGTAGTTAGTTAGCACTGCTCCTTGTGCTTTGTGTATACCTGACTATTCTCTGTTGCCCCCCCCCCTTCCTTTTTGGATTATTAGAAACCTGTGTTTCCAATCCTTACCCCTTGGGGCGGGTTACAACTAGATGTTATGTAATCTTTAGAGATGATCTAGCACTTTCAGTTCCATGGTTAGAAAGGCTGTCTCTAATCTGTTCAGGCTCTGAAATGTTCAAAAACTGCATAAGTTGTAATAGAAAAACATATCATCTTATACTTTTTTTAAATTCATGATTTTTTAAAAAATTGCTTATAATAGATTAGAGATTTCACCAGGATGGGGCGGTAGCTAGTTTGACTATTTGGTCAGTGGTTACAATCAAGGGCCAGTAACATTTATCTTGCCTTCCCTGAAAGCTACTTAGAGGAAGGTCTGTGGACCAGAACTGGTTCATGATGAGATAAGGAGAGGAATTCAGAGTAAGTGTTTTGAAACTTTTAAAGCGGTTTGGCATTACTGTGACACTTCTGTTCAGTTTTATAAAAGTATTGATAATGGGAAATTTTAAGAACCGATTCTTTACCAGATAGTTTGAGATGTACTGGAAGTGTACAAATTCAAGCTGCCTGGTTCTAATTTTATTATTTTTTTAATCCTCACCCAAGGATATTTTTTCCATTGCTTTTCGGAGAGTAGAAGGGAGAGAGAAAGAGAGAAACATGGATGTGAGAGAAAGACATCGATTGGCTGCCTCCCACATGCCACTGAGCCAAACCAGCTAGGGCCTGGGTTCGAATTCTTGCTCCATTCCTTAAAACTATGTGACATTGGGCAAATTGATTAGCCTAAGACTGTTCCCCTACTTAAAATGACAGTAGCACTTTTCTCAGGGCTAGTTAGGATAAAAGGAGATTAATTATTCAAGAAATGTATTATCATCTTCTGCGTAAGGCATTGATCATAGCAGTGAACAGGACAAAGTCTGTCACAGCATGTTGCAGTAAATTCTAGTAAGACAAGTAATAAACCAGTAGATACATATCTCATCAGGTAATAAATGTTCTGATGAAAAACAAAGCTGGGTCAAAGGTTTGGAGAGGCACAGGGATTGTGGTTTTATGTGAAGTAGTGAGAAAGGGCTTTCTGAAGATAACAGCATTTGAGCCAGGACCTTAATGAATGAAATGGCAAACCATTGAATACTGGCTGAAGGGCATCCAGGCACTGGGAAGAGCAAGCGAAAATGCCCTAAGGAGCTTGCTTCTTGTGCTTGACAGTGGTGTGGCCGGAAGTCGGGGGGTGGAGGGTGGGGGGTGTGTGTCAGGGAATTCAACAAGAGCCTGGTCATCATGAGAAGTTAGGACCCCAGATGTCATCTCTTCAGAGAATTGTTCCCTGACCACTACCTAAGCTGGTAGCTGCTATCTCAGTGTCATTGCCTAACTTTGTTTTTCTTGATAGCACTTAACTTTTTGATATTATACTTGCATTTATTTGTTTATTGCTTGGTTTTAAATACATAAGCTCCATGAAGGCTATATTCCCACAGCCTACAACAGTGCCTTGCATGTAGTAGACTCCAGTATTTCTCAATGAATGAATGAATATAACATAGGAACTCATAAATGCATAAGGTAACTTTCAGCCTCATTAATTAAAACTACCCTTGATGAAGCATGGCTTTGGATATATCCTTAAAGACTGTTTGAAACTTCTTCGGAATCAGATCTTTGGTACTTTATACCAAACTTTAAAACTAGATGATGGGCCATTAAAAAAAGAACAACACTGATTTTTTTATATACAAGGTGGGGCAAAAGTAGGTTTACGGTTGTAGTACAAGTAAAATAATACAATAATTAATAAATAATAATACAAGAATAAGCTCTGTTTCACAACTAAACCTACTTTTGCCTACCCTGCTTGTTTTATAGGCCTGTTATAGATAGACCACAGTGACTTTTCGGTGGTTCGTAGTACACATTGCCACAGGCTGAAGCGTTTTCAGTTCTCGGTGATGTCATTTGAAAAAGTATATACTCCACAGCAGAGATGTATCTGTGCTCCAGTGTATATACCAAGCTTTTCCCTAAACTTCTCTGGGAAAAATTTAAACCTCAAAGATTTAGAGGAAGTACAAGGAACACCCATGTACCCTTACCTAGACTCACCAATTGTTAACTTTCTGCTAAATTTGTTATCTATTTCTCTCCCTCCCTCCTTCCTTTCTTTCCTCTCTTCCACCATATCTGTCTGCCTCTCTCCCTCGCTCCACACACACAGATAAATATATATATATGTATACACACACACACTATTATTTTGTTAAACCATTTGAAAGTAGGTTGGAAACATCATGACAATTCACTTCTAAATGTCAGCATGTATTTCCTAAAAACAAGGATATTTTCCTACATAACCGCAGCATTATTGTCACACCCAGTGAAATTAACATTGATAAAATAATATATATTATGCAGTTTATAACTAAAATTTTCGCAGTGTCAAAAAACGTTCTTTGTAGATTTCTTTTTCCAGTCAGGGATCACGCATTTTAGTTGGTTGCGACGGTACTTTAGTCTCCTTTAATCTAAAATGGGTCCCTTGTCGTTCCCCCATCCTTGTTAGTGTTTTTCATGACACTGACAGTATTTGAGGAATTCAGGCTGACAGTCTGAATTTGTTTTCTCATGGTTAGATGAGGTTAAACATTATTTTGGCAAGAAAAATGCATAGGCGTGTAGTAATGCTTGAAGAGACTTAGAATGAAAAGTAAAAAGCACTTCCTTTCCCCTTTGTTTCTGCAGGATTCTGAACACTCACAGTTTGCTCTGTGACTGCCATTTGAAGTGGTTGCTTCAATGGCTGGTTGATAATAACTTTCAACATTCTGTGAATGCAAGTTGTGCACACCCTGAGTGGCTAGCAGGGCAAAGCATCCTGAATGTGGATTTGAAAGATTTTGTCTGTGGTTCGTATTTCTGTTTTAAAATTTTGTATATTACATGCTTATAGGATTAGAACTTTTTCTTTTCTAGAGAGAAAGGAAGGGAGAGAGAGAGAAAGAGAAAGAAACATCAACATTAGAAACATCGATCAGTTGCCTCCTATATGCACCCGGACTGGGGACTGATCCCTCAACCTGGGCATGTGCCCTGACCGGGAATTGAACTGGCGACCTTTCCTTGCACTAGACGATGTTCAGCCAACCAAGCTGCACCAGCCAGGGCCAAGAAGTACATTGTAGGCATAAGTGACAGTAAGGGAGAGTGGGAAGAGTGCTAAATCCTGAAGTCTGAAAACCTGGGCTCACTTACATGTCTTTGAGCAGGTCCCTTCACCCTTCTGGGCCTCCTTTTTCCATCTTTAAATGAGGGCATTGGATTCCAGCTCTAGTCTCTTTCAATTTTAATGTAACATTCTGTAAACAGAACACACAATTTTATATTACTTATTTTAAAGCTGAATTTGTAGAAGTGAAAAAAGCTAAGGACTCCTGCCCCATTATTTTCCTCAGATGATTTTCTCAAGCCACAGATAAGAACACACCCTGAAACCACAGTTGCTCTCAGAGGCGTGAACGTGACTCTGACATGCACCGCAGTGAGCAGCAGTGATTCCCCCATGTCTGCTGTGTGGCGCAAAGACAGTGAGATCTTGTATGATGCCGATATTGAGAATTTTGTTCGTTATCAGCAGCAAGCTGGAGAAGCTCTGGAATATACTAGCGTCTTACATCTTTTCAATGTGAATTTCACGGATGAAGGAAAATATCAGTGCATCGTTACTAATCACTTTGGTTCTAATTATTCTCATAAAGCCAAACTGACTGTGAATGGTAAGTAATTATGCTCCCTAATAGTTTTTTGTAGTTAGAAGGATTTTTCATGTTTAGTTTTGCACCACTTTGACTTAAGAAAATTAGGCTCAACCTGACATTGGAGGGGGGATCTTACTGTTTTTGTCTTTAGGGTGTGATCATGTATAGACTGGATTGTGAGTTTGCCCACTTCCTGTCCCTAATTAGTCATTGGTTGAGGGATAAATGTGAATTCCCTGGTCCCAGAGGAGAGGCTCTCACTGTTACTTACACTTTTGAAAGAATTCTTTTGAAATTCTCCAGTTTCTTTCCAGAACCATAATTCTGTTCTGGAAACGATGGAATTTACTCCTGACACTGTTCACGGGTCTTCCAATAACGGAGTATTTAGGACACTTCTAGGTCCAGTGATCATCATCATTGTCTTAGTGTAGTCATACAGGACCATTTTTTAAATTAATGCTCTTCACCATGGCTCTAAAAGTTTCTCCAAACAGCTTGATCTGTTTATCGCCTATTAGATTGAATAACTACAGCATTTTAGGCTTTGTGCACCCAAAAGAGGTACTTGGGTTTTGCTTGTGTGTCGTTTTATGAGATTTTTGAAGGCATAATTTTTTCTATCATACAGTAGCCTTGACAGCTTTGTTAGATGTTAGTTTGAGAAGCACCATTTAGTCTCTTAAGTAAGGAAGTCAGTAAATGTCAGGTTCTAAAACATGGAGTTCAGAGGGTTTGTGGCTGTCTGCTTTCCCTTTTCCCATGGGGGATCAGGAAAGTGTGTCATGCATTCTAGAAGAGTTAGTCATCACTGAAGTGAGGGAAAAGATGGACTCTGAAGGTGTATTTTACTGTCAGTCCAGAGAGCATATCTTCTCAAACAAATTACAACAGTTGCCGTTTGGCCTAACAGATCCTCCTGAGTGTGTGTATGTGTGTTTTTCCCTACCCACGTTTTCTCGGTGGTCTTTGTTGGAACAGAAATGCCATCTTTTCTGAAAACCCCAATGGATCTAACTATTCGCACCGGTGCCATGGCCAGATTAGAATGTGCTGCAGAGGGGCACCCTGTACCTCAGATTTCCTGGCAGAAAGATGGCGGCACTGACTTTCCTGCGGCCCGAGAAAGACGAATGCATGTCATGCCCGAGGATGATGTCTTCTTCATTGCCAACGTGAAGATAGAAGACATGGGGATCTATAGCTGCATGGCACAAAACATAGCAGGAGGCCTCTCAGCGAATGCCTCACTCACAGTGTTGGGTATGTTCCCTGCTCCGCGGCTCCCAGCTTTTGTAGGAGCCTTTTTGTTAGGGACCTACTCTTGGTCTTAATGCCAAGAAAAGTCTAAATTTCAGGTTTCAGTTGCGATCCTTGTACCTTCATCACCTTATTTTCCAGTTTATGCAGGGTTATGTCAGCCTAGGATATTTGTGCGTCAGATAGCTGAAATCTGGGGAAATGCTCAGGGTGGATCTAGAGATCTAGATCACATGGATTGAAAATTCAAGTCCCTAAGTGTATCCTATTATATCTCCCTTTGTAACGTGTCTGCTTCATATACGTGGTTTTTCTGCTTTTCAGGAGGGAGTTTCAGTTGTTTTATCCGACTTCACACACCACTTCATAAGGAATTTGGGACGGTTTAACTGTTTCTCCCCCAGTAAACTTTTTAAAAAGTTTTTATATACACAAAATGGCCTGTCTTCTAGTTGCATGTCCTGTTTCCAGTGTGCTACTTTTAATTTTATGCTCTGGTAAAATGTCTTTTCCCTAAAGATTTCTCTGGACAAGCCTGTTTTTTTCTTATGAGAATGCTTTTCTTCATGGGACTTAAATCCCAGGCAAATTCTACTTTTAGTTCTCTAGTTCCCTAGATGTTAAGGTTTTTAAAAGTTTGTTGGTTTGTGTTACTTGTATGATCAAAAAGTAAGTTTATTACATTTAAGAACTTTAGCTGTACAGAAAATTAGAATAAAGGAGGGAAAGTCACTCAAACAGTTTTAAAAGATTTTGTCATATTCTGGACTTTTTTTTTACTCATTCGTATGTACTTACGGGTACACTTTTTCCCACCTAATATTATCGCAGGGCTGCCCTGTCATTGGTCGTCATAAAATATCACATGGCTGTGTACTGTAACTTAATCATTTTCCTGCTGGATTTTTTTAAAAGATTTTTCCCCTTTATTTTATAAAATTACAACTAATTTTATAATAAACACCTTTGTATAGAAATTTTTGAATTCCTTAGCTTAGGATAGCTTGCCCAAGGTGGAGTTCCTGAGATAAGATTTAGATTTTTTGAGGCTTTTGCTTTTCTGAAATACTTTTAATCCTCCCATGAGTATATGAAATTCCCTATTTCATTTTATCATTAGTCTANAGCTTTTGCTTTTCTGAAATACTAACTTTTAATCCTCCCATGAGTATATGAAATTCCCTATTTCATTTTATCATTAGTCTAATTCAATAGGACTTAAAATTGCTTAATATGACTTTTAATACATCTTTCTGTTAGAGACGCCCTCATTTATGAGACCCCTGGAGGACAAGACAGTAACCCGAGGTGAAACTGCAGTATTACAGTGCATAGCTGGAGGGAGTCCTGCCCCTCGCCTCAACTGGACCAAAGATGATGGACCACTGCTGGTCACAGAACGGCACTTCTTTGCTGCAGCCAACCAGCTTCTCATCATTGTAGACGCTGGGCTAGAAGATGCTGGGAAATATACCTGCATTATGTCTAACACTCTTGGGACAGAACGTGGTCACATTTATCTAAATGTCATCTCATCCCCTAATTGTGACTCTTCCCAGAGTAGTATTGGGCATGAAGATGATGGCTGGACCACAGTTGGCATTGTCATCATTGTTGTGGTCTGCTGTGTTGTGGGCACTTCTTTGATCTGGGTTATTGTTATTTACCACATGAGAAGGAAAAATGAAGACTATAGCATCACGAACACAGGTGAGTGGAATCCATGTGACCTTTGGCTTGTACCTGACTCAAGAATGTAGTATAGTATTTACTGAAAAACATAAAAACTGAGGAGCTTTGATAGTTTGTGTGGTAGAAGGAAGACTGTTTCTTAAAATGTCCTATTTCCTTGATATAGTGGAACCCCCTGATGAATAATTTTAAGAATTTGTGGACACTCCCTTAAAACCTTGTTCTTCTCTCTTTAATGCCTAAGGTGAGTTTCCATGGTAATTTTTCTGGGGTAGAGTAGAGCCCTTATGGCTGATCAGTCCTTCACACCCTCACCCTGAAATCCTGCCAGAGGAGGCTCAGCCATAGACTGAAAGTGCCTAAGATAAAAGTTCAGACTTGATGTTTTGTTTCTTTTGGTAATATTGTTACAATGAAGCTTTGAGAAGAATTCTAGTGAGAAATGATTTTAGGGGAAAAATCTAAGAGCTACCAAGTTCCTAGGCATACATGAAACATTTTCCTGGCAAATAGTAGCAGAGTGGAACACATTTACAAAATAATCTTCTGAGTGTTGGCTTAAATTGCCTAACTTTATTTGTGAATTACATACAGATTTCTGTTTTACAGAGGAGCTTAATCTGCCTGCAGACATTCCCAGCTACTTGTCTTCCCAAGGAACTCTGTCTGAGCCACAGGAGGGCTACAGCAGCTCTGAGGCTGGCAGTCATCAGCAGCTCATGCCTCCTGCCAATGGGTATTTACACAAAGGCACTGATGGTAATGGCTTTTTGTTGTATATGCTTACAGTTGCAGCCCTGTCCCATTGAGTTTATTTTTTAGTGTATAGGTTTCCCCTTTAACCTGAAACAATATTTTAAAGAGATAACTGAAAACAATTGGCCCATGCAAAATAGAATGAGAATTGACTGAAGTCTTAACAGAGAAGAAAGTCAACTGACAGATAAGAGAAACACATCCTAAAGGGATTGGGACACAGCGCAGGCTCCCAAACCAGTGTTATGGGAAGAAGCTCTGGAGACTTCTTTCAGGTGTATTTTATCTGATTCAGGCATGAACATCCTTCAGACCATGTCCAGGGGAGACTTGTTTCTCCTGCTGACAGGTATATATATATTCATTAAAGTTTAAAGGTGATGCTGTTTTTCATTGTATATCAGAGAGGTATAAAATGTTCCTTAATTTATGAACCTAACTTCTCAGCACAGCTATTCCTTCCCCTCCACCTTCCCCCAGGGAGCGACAGAACACAGGCTGTGAGTTAAGGGATAGAATTGGGTTTGAATCCTAGTTCCTCCTCCCAGATCTGTGGCATGAACAGGTTAAGAACTGAGCTTTAATTTTCTCATTTTAAAATAAATATTTTATAAAGCACTTTTCTTAAAATTTTAGCAGATCCTTGCAACAAACCTGAGTAGTATCAAGTACTGTACAAATGATAGGTCTGTTCCATGTCTAGAGAGTTTTTATGCTGGGTGTTGACAGAGCTCTATGTAACTGATAAGTTGGATTTTATTTTGGCTTTTCATGGAAAGGGGGTTATTCCTAGCTTTTAAAAGAATGCTTAAAGCCTTCACCCTGACATTTGTGGGGAGTAACACTGCCTGTGCGTTAAACTAAATTACATTTAGATCTCTCCCAGTTCTAGCGTTTTGTTGCTTGATTGTGCATAAGTAACCTCTCTATTCCTCACGCTTTTCCCTCCCCTTCATCATTCAGTTTTCAAAGTACATAACAGCCCAGGGAGCTCATTGTTAAACTTTTACTTTTGCCAAATGCACATTTGTTGGGCAGGACTCTTGGCTTTCTCTAGGGGTACTTTCCGCAGCTAGTGTTGTCTAACCTCTTGACTCATGAAAGTAATATGGGCTTTTGTGAAGTGAAGTCATTGTAACTCCTCGTTGTCTGCTTCAGTTTGCTTAAGCCAAATATATCTTATAGCACAGTGCCAACCTTCTTTTGGCTCCCTTCATTTGAGCATGACCGTATCCAGGCTGGACAGAGATGGTTTAGTCCAGAGCACGAGCTCTGGAGCCAGTGTGTCCAAGTTCAGGTTTCAGCTCCTCACACTGGCAGTATGTTTGGGCCAGTTACTTAACTTCTCTATGTTGTAGTTATTCCATCTGGAAGATGGGATAGTAATAGTATCTACCTACCTTACAGAATGTTGTGAGGCTTAAAGAGTTAATTTACAGAAAGACCTTGAGCCTGGCCGGGTATGGCTCAGCCGTTGATCATCGACCTAGGATCGGACCTAGGATCCAGGTGATCGGGGTTTGATTCCTGGTCAGGGCACATGCCCGGGTTGTGGGCTCGATCCCCAATGACTCATCATTGATGTTTCTGTCTGTCTCTCTCTCTCTCTCTTTCTCTCTCCCTCCTTTCCTCTCTCTGAAATCAATAAAGATATATTTAAAAAAAAAAAAAAAAAAAAAAAAAACCTTAAATTGGATACAAAAAGATCATTAAAAAAAACACACACCAAAAAAACAAACACACCTGACATGCCCAANAAAGTAAGTGTTGAGTGCCAGCTATGGTGATAGTGATGGCAACTGTTGGAGAAAACTGATGATTGGTAAAGTTGGTTCCTCAACTAAAACATGTTCGGGTTCTATCCCATGTTGTCCTCAGGTGGCACTGGTGCCCGGGTTATCTGCTCAGATTGTTACGACAATGCCAACATCTACTCCAGAACGCGAGAATACTGTCCGTATACCTATATTGCTGAGGAGGATGTTCTAGATCAGACTCTGTCCAGCCTCATGGTCCAGATGCCCAAAGAGACGTATCTGGCACATCCTTCCCAAGATGCCACAGCCCTGGAGAGCCTGGTATTATCAGCAGATAGAGAAATGTCTGCCTTTCCCACCAACCATGAGAGGATGAATGAGAAGAAACTCCGCCCCACACAGATGAGCAGTGGTAAGGGCACAGTGTTTTGTTGGTTTTGTTTTCATTTCCACCTGCTTGATTTTTTTTCTGTTATGTAGAAGCACTCATATCTGACAGGAAGCAAACTGGTGCACAGCTTACCCTGCAGTGAACAAGGAGACACAGAAAGGCACACTTTTAATTTAAAATCAGATAATCTTTTAATTTAAAATCAGATTATCTGCTTTTGGTTATTATTTTATTAGAATTATCTGCATGCTAGAAGCTGGAGGGAAATGGTTTCTTTTTAAAATAGTTTTTTTAAACATAAATATAATGGCTGGTCTGAATCAATTTTTATCTTTGTATCATGCAACTTTCATTACAGTGTGGGTACTGTTAGTCTCTTAGTCCGTTTCCATGTGTCTAAAGAGTTTTTTCAAATTTTGTAGCAGCAGGACCACTAACAATAGGCAAAAGTAGAAGGCATATAGCATGGATTCAGTAAATAATTGGTAGGTTCTTTGAATAGAAGGTAAGACCATAGTTCAGTTTTTGTCTGGTTTTCTTTTTTAGTTGTTGCTAAGAAGATGGCAAGTATATATTTGATCTCAACATCCTTATTCAGCAATATGGGGTATCTTTATTTCTTTAAGGATTTGAGTAAAAGAAAATTAAGTTTTAGAAAATTAATTTTGAACTTGTCTTTGCCACTGATAATTCCTGTCTTTGATTCTCAGAAACATTGCAGCGGCCCCTATGGAACATAAGCAAAGAACTAGGCCTGCCTCATCCTCCGTTTTCCCAGCAGCCCGTCCTTGAGTCACCACAGCTCCATCAGAAGGAGAGCCTGGCAGAGAGGGATGCAGACTGCTCCTCTTCCCCCATGCCGTGCCGCAGGTTACACGACCGTGCTTTTGATTTTAGTAGGACTCGGAACACTCAAGAGGGAATCGAGGGCACATGAAGCACTCCGTGGTGAAATCTGGGCAAACACCCAAATTCATTAATTTTGTATTTACTACCTCAGAGTTCAGAAGAAACCCCAAAGTCAGCATTTGCTTTACTCTTTGTCTACAATTACATCTGACCACACCAAGGTGGGCCAGGCACATGTTTGGGCTTATACCTGACAAAGAAAGGGTAATGGCTGACAGAAAAGGGTACATGTAATAAACATGTACATGCAGCAGGGGCAGAGGAAGATGCGGGACAGATGTGCTTCCTGATGTTTCCATGGGGATGTTCCCAGGGTGCAGTGCATATTAGGAAGAATCTCATTGCTGCTTAACATGCCAATTGTCTCAACCTGAAGACTGATTCTGAGAAAACATTACTGTTCTATTTTGCCTTCTAAAGAACAAAAATAACTTTGGAGCCCTCTGGGAAGTGTTGGGGATTTGTGGTTTTTAGCATAGAGTTGAGAGTGGGGCTTTGATATTCAAGGTCTTTGGCAAGAATCCTAGGCTTGACCAACTGTTACCAGGTGGTCAAGGAGTTTTATATTCTTGTGAATCTCTGTTTGTTTTGGGGGACCCCCCTATGACCCAGGGATCTCATTGTAAATATATGTACATTTATAAATAATTTTTGTATTCATTGACCATAGTGTTGTCTGCAGTGTAAATATTTTTGATATGCCAAAGTTATATATGACATCCAGTTATAATATTGACAGCAGCTTCTCAAATGATAGATTTTGTATATCTTGGTTTAGTGAATTTAAAGACTGTTTAAAGTTTTAAAAATGTATTTGTTAAGAAGTATATGTATAGATGCAGGGTACCTAGTGATTGGGTACACACAAACACAGTCTTGGTGTAATTAACCACTTCATACCTAAAGGTTCATACAGCTACTCATTTGCCACCGTTTATAAGTGCCAGGAAATTACCCTTCTAGGGTAAAAAGGCGCTTTCAAAATACTAGCAGTCTTGTCATCGCCATATGTAGGTAGATAAAGGAAAACTCGTTTGGGGAATATCTTCTTTCAACAGAGTGCTTTGTTGATGAGGAAACCAAAGATTGCTGCTTTATGTTTGTTTTTTTAATATCGTCTCTTCTCCCGATGCACAGTGTATCTTAAGAAGGGAAGAGGGCTCTTGGGAGTAGAAGGATGTGCGGAAATGTTTACACTATGAAACTTTGGAGTGGTCCTTGTTTTGTATAAGAGATTATTTAAGCCAAAAGTTTCCCTGAATTTCTGATAGCAAAAAGCTTTTTGTAAACAAAGGACTTCACACTTGAGTGGAATGGACTGGACTGAAGTTCTTGTACTTCCAGATTTCCTCACCTAGGCGGTCAGATTCTGTTCTCCAGATCTGTTAAGTGCTAGCTAGGTACTGGGTAACCACAGTCACTTCCGTGAAAACATCCAAGTCAGTGTGCACTCCAAGGGCCAGACGCATAATTTCTCAGCTCGTTGCTAGAATTTCATACTTGTTTCCAATCCTAAATTTCCCCCGCATAGGCGGCAGCACCTGTTGAGCTGTTTTATACCACCATGCCTTTCTCTGTTTCCTTTTGAAACTGTCAGCCTTTGTTCACTTTCACTTTGAACTTCTTAAATACATTTTTACCCGTCCTTCAGTCTGTGATCCTTGCCCTTATTTACGAGGTTGTAGTATAATTTGTACCTACTTAGAATCAAGACACCTGATTTCATTCCCTCCTCTGCTACCTACTAGTTGTGTAATCCGGGGCCAGTCCCTTTACGTCTCAGTCCAGTTTTCTCATTATGAAACAAGGGCATTTTACTAGATGCTCTGAAGCCCTTTCCAGCTGTAATATTCTATGAATCTGTGATCCCTCCAGGAACCAAGGAGGATTATACTACTATAATAAAAAGCTGCTTTCACAAAATGTTTGTTAGAGTAGAACAAGAGCAATGCTGCTTACTCTGGCTTGAGCCAGATTTATTTGCTCTCATGAGAAGAAATACTCCACTTCTAAACTGTCAGTAAGCAAGGACTCGGACTCCATTGACAAGCACCCGTTGCTCTAGAACAGCAGGTCTGAGGTTGGTGTCAAGCCCTGCACAGAATCAGAATCAGTAGAAGGGTGTGCCACAGCTCATCTGGAACCAGTTTGGGACCCACTGACCTCTACTGTGTTCAAGGTTATCCGAGGAGTGAGAGTACTCTCACTCACATTCTAATAGACTTTCTTGAGTTAAAAGGGTAGAGTTGGAGCTGGGCTGCCAGTGAACATCGGCTGTTATGTGAGACGCAAAACAGGCCAGATCGGTGCTCTAGAAGACGTCGTCTGCATGGATGCTGCCTTGCTTTCAGCAGTGGCCGCTCTCTGCCAGTGGTGTCAGCTTCTGGTCTCCTGATGGCCAAGCTCTCCATTGTGTCAACCCAAATGGTTGCAGCATCCTCCCAGATACTCCTAGCTTGTCTACATAAATAAAAAACTGGCCTAAAAATCTAGTCAGGTGAATAGCCTACTCCGATCTTAAAAAAAATAATGAAGTTAATAAATCCTAATTTTAGGAGGAATTCCTGAAACTTTTCATTATTGCATCTGTTTTTGACCAAGCAGTCAGTTAACCCTCTGCTATAACTAAGATTAATAGCTCATCAGTGTTTCTTTCCAGTAGTATAATGGCTGCCTGTTGCCAGTTTAACCAGGATTGTTGCAGAGCCAGGCAGACTAAAATGTGGGAGCATCCTCTCTGCCCCCCCACCCGTTACCACTTCTTGCCAGGAGTGATGCATAAATTCTCTTCATTTGGTCATACCCTTCAGAACGGTTCTTCAAGTCTACCTGGAAGAACTAGCATTACCTTGAGCTCCAAGCCTTACTGGCCCAGGGCTACACCTAAGCCACTGGCTTCCTGTCACTCAGCAGCTTCTAAAATGCTCTCCCTGGTATACAAGTTACTCTACAGACCAGAAAATCGTAGCACCAGCCCAGTGTGTAGTTCCCTCCACTGTGCCATCTCTGAATGCTTCAGATGTATGTTTTTCTATAAGGCAACTTTCACATTTAAAAACAGTTGCCTTCACACTGCCCTTGGGAGGTTGTAAAAGAAACATTAAGATTCTAAGCAACTTAGACTCTTAGCCATTTTCCTAAGAAAAGGGAGATGATAAGAGTCTTTAATTTTTTAAAGGGTTGTCATGAAACAAAGATGAGATTCACTCTTTTTATTCCAGAGGACACGGGTCATATCTGGGTCAGGAGTTATGGGGTGGTGCAGAATACACTTGCCCGTGATTCTATGTGAGCTCACTTTCTAACAGTTAGATTTATCTGACAGTTGGAATAATCGGCCTTTTATGGGAAAACTACACACCGAAGCTGAACAATCATCTGCTAATAGCTTTGAGGAAATTCCCGCCTTGAGATGGAATGTGGACAAGGTGACCTTTAGGTCGATTTTATTTTATTGTCGGAAATCTCCAGAAAAACTCTGCCCTTCAGAATCCTTTATATAAAGTAAGTACAGAGCACTTAAATAATTTTTAAACTGAAGAATTTTGGGTTTTGGCCTATTCTCTGTTAATGGCTAAAACTGTGAAAGCCTGGGCTTATTCTTCTGAGGAAACCTGTAACCGGTAGTTATTACCACAGATGGCACTGCCTGTAAAGAGCGTAAAGCCTCCAGCGCGTCCCATCCCCCCTTTACTCTTTGATTCCTGTTCTCAGTGGGTCCTGTTTTGAGTGGGGTTGCGAGTGTAGCATTCACTTTTATACCCAGTATTTTACCCAGGTGCGTGGTGGTCTTTTCTAATCGCTTGAATATCCGCAGAAACGCCGAGAGGGTAATGGAGCGACAGGTCCATTTGCGGCATTTTGTGCTGCATACTCTGTTTCTTCTGCTTCTTGGTGCAGATGACAGAGGTAATTGCGGAGCAGTGGAGCTACGGTTTCCTTGGCATCTGCAAGTAATGTTTCATCCTGTTCCATGTTCAGTTTGGCAGGTGTTTTCCCCTCCTGCTCCTCCTGACTTTTTTGTTCGGAATACAATCTAAACCGACATCAGTTCGCCTTAATTTTCTTCCTGCTTTGGACACTGCCTGGTTTGTTGCAAAAATAAGTTCTGAATTGAGAGATATATTACAAGCTGCTCTTAACAAAACACCTGAAAACCCGTGAATCACCTAAAGGTTTTATGGGTGCTAAAGGGGGTGTGTGTGTGTGTGTGTGTGTGTGTGTGTGTGGAGTAGTATTTGGACCAGTTCCCTCAAGGTTGTGTTTTTTATCAGTCCAAGTAACCTTCACCGAAGGGTGAGGTAATGGTGAGAAACAGATTAATTTGAGCCTCTCTGCAAAAGTAAGGAGTATAGTTATCAGCTGTAACTGTCTTGAGAAACTGATCATCACGTGGTCAACTGCTCTTAGAATATTTCTTGGCTACTTAAAGTGGCCTCTTGATCCATAGACTGTTTCTACCCCCTACATTCCCCCCCATCAGAGGACATTAGTCTGAGCAGCCCTGGTACTAGATGTCCCCAAGGAGAGTTATAAGCCAAGTTGTTCAGTGTGGCCCTTTCCTCATATCTATTTATATTTTCTCACACATGAGAATGTATATTTTATAAAGCATGTGTTTGTTTACTTGTTTATCTACTGTAGTATGTCTTCAATAAAGCTAAAATACAGTATGATTTTCTGGTCTTGCCTAAAGCACAGGAGCAAAATGGTGCTTTTTTAAGTTTGTGTTTTTTTTTTTTTTTAGAGGGTCTCCAAATAGCCATACACATTTAAATGTGAAAGAGTTGCCCTTTTCTAGTTCCTGCTCTATGTCAGGGTCACATACTGTCTTGAGCATGACACAGGTACCCCTGCAGCTCTGAGCTGCCCCAGGGCCCACACTGCATGTCCTCTGCCCCCCTGGTAGTCTCCACCATGGTGCTGGATGCCTGGCAGAATGGAAACAAACATACTTAACAGTTCTTCAGAAAGTGAGAGTGCTTCTGTGCAGGGAAGAATCTGAAGGCAGCATTTGCTAATTTGGTAAGTCTTTGATTAACAAAGTATTTGAAGTCGGTATTCTGGTCAGCTTTCTCACTGTGCCATGTACTCAACTCTTCAAAGGCTGGGCTCACGGTACTGATCCCATTGTGAACTTCTGCTGCACTTTTCAAGGCATGTTCAGAGATACTTATCTTATTTGAATCTCACAGCACTCAAGATGTAAATTGAGCAGATCATTTAATCTCCACTTTCTGTATTTAGGAAACTGGCTTGGTAACGTTATCACACAATGTCAAAAAGCTTTGAGGCAGTAAAGCTAGGATTTGAATCCAGATTTTCTGACTCATATTTAGGACTTTTTCCACTGGGATGCCTTCCAGTTTTGAACAGTGTTGTGTCTATAGTGTTTACACACATTTGAATAAGACGTGCTCTGGGCTTTGATCACTTCCAATATGGTGAAAGTGTGGGCTGGAATGCACACTAGAAGCTGGTTTTTACTGTATTCCTGGTAGGAAAACAGACTGCCGTTTCCTTAAATGGGTGAAATGAAAAAAATGTGAAAAAGTGAACTTCTGTTGTCTGAGCCCCCAGTCTGTGGTATTTTGTTATGGCAGCCTGGGCAAACTAATACAACCCTCTGATAACCCAGCCGGGTTGGTAGAATTTTCTTACACCTCAGCCTGTATGATTTGTCCAAGGTCACATGCTCCAAAGCCCACGCTTTTTGGACTGAGTCATACTATCCTCTGGCCCCAGTCACTGCTTTATATACTGAAAAGCGCTATAGAGAAATTGGAAATGAACCCGACGAACACACTGGCTGGCATGCTTGTGGTTCCCACACTGCACAGCCCCAGCCGTACAGAGGTTCAAACAAAAGGTGGCCACGGCTCCGGGGGACGCTGGCCAGGAAGCAGGAAGCTGACTTGTGTTTACAGCGCCGCGCCTGTAGGCTGAGCGCGCCTGCAGGCAAACAAGCAACGTCCTGAGCCTTTTATCTCCCGGGGAGAAGCCAGACTTTTACGTCAATGAGGAGAATCCCGTACATGGAATAGTCTGAAATTATTTGGATCAAGTAGTTTAATTTTGTGTCCTTTTAAAATCCTCCATCAAGGCTGATGTGAATTCCTCCGTCTCAAAAACAACAGGCGTATGGTCAAGGTTGGCAGTGATGGGGCCTAGCTTGAATTATTAATTCTGGACGAACTCCAGAGACAAGTGCATGGGTATCTGTTCCAGCCCAGAAACAGCCAGTGCAAAGAACTAGAATGGTTGTCAAGCTGAATTCCTGCTGCCCCAGGCCCTGTTCTTTATGCATGTGACCTGGGAGTGCTTCAGGGACCATGCCAGATATGCTCTTATTGAAAAGGAATTTACAGCTAAGATCCGAGTATGCGGTGTGGAGAACTTGACATGCGCAGAAGTGCAAAGTCACAGTAAATTGCAGATTTGAGGGGGTGGTAGTGCATCCACGTTGGCAGGACTTTTGCCTCCTGGGCCCCACTCCACAAGCACCAGCTTTCGCTCTTACCTTTTCTAGTTGCCTGTCCCACCTGCCAAGTGTGTGCCAGTTCCTGAAGGTCCCTTCAGAGCAAAAGACTTTAGTCCTTAGGAAGGTAAGAAGTTTGAAAACTCCTTCCTGTCTCCCCTGTTGGAAGAAGTCTCAGTGTTTCTTCCTCCGGGCAGCCCTAAGAGCTGGCTGGGTACATTCCTCACTCCAGGAAAAGGGCTTTTGTAAAGAGAAATTCCAAATTACAGAGATGACTGGTTCATTTTGCACAGAAGTCCTTTCTTGCGTCTAATTTAAGTTCTAGCAGATGCAGGATTTGTTAGGGAAACGGTTACTGAGGGTGGTGGAAGAATTTAAGAATGCATAGAATTTTTTTTGTAGCTCTAGAAGGCAGGGTGTGACTTCTAGAATTCCTTTGGTTTAGAAAACAAACCTGTTTTCTTTCTGTCCCACCTTCCTTATTGCTGTCCTACTCTTCCCCACCCTCCAGTAACAATTTGGGCAGAAGAAGCAAGAAACTAAATTCCCAAGTCCCCAGCCTGCCACCTCTGGTCAGCCAGAATTGAATGTGGGTGGGTCAGTGGGTCAGAGCACTGTCTTGGAAACAGCTGGACTCCACTTCCACCTCCACCTCTTCCCAGCTGTGGCAACTTAAGTCGGTTCCGTGGGTGCTTTGTGCCGCCTCATCTGTAAGGTGGAAATATTCATGCATAGGATTAGCAGAGCTAATGCCTATAAAGTACCAAGCTCAGTGCCCAGCACAGCGCTAGGTAAGTTTTGGCTGCTATTAGCTATTGTTATGGGCACTCAGAATGGAGCTTGCTCTTTTCCTCCCCTCCCCTGCCCTCTCCTATCCAGCACAGCTCAAGATGGGGAATGTCAGCAGTTTCCCCAAAGGCATTTTAGGAGTAGCCCTGGAGATTTTTGTTCCTAGCTGGGTTTTATTTAGAAACAAGATACAACCTCCTGAAACTATAATTAAGTGAAAGGTGCCTCCAGCTCTGAGTCAGTTGGACAGGGACTCTGACCAGCTCTGCCACTCACCGACCATATGTTCTTGGGAAGTCACTGACTGCTGGGTCCTGGTGTCATCTGCTAAGAGAGCATTTGGCCTGTCATCAGGTGCTCTTGGAGGCCCTTCCAGCTCTGAGGTCCTGTGGCTTTTTTAGGCACAGAGAGCCATCCTCACCACTGCCCCCAAACACACATAGGCTTTTATAGTGGACAGAGAGCCTGTCTGGCTTAAAGGAAAGTAATGAAGTTAAAGGCCCGGCCAGCGTGGCTCAGCGGTTGAGCTTGACCTCGGATCTAGGAGATCTTGGTTCGATTCCTGGCCGGGGCACATGCCTGGGTTTCGGGCTTGATCCCCAGTGGGGGGCATGCAGGAGGCAGCAGATAAGTGATTCTTATTGTTGATGTTTCTCTCTCCTCCCTCTCTCTGAAATCATTATATTAAAAAACAAAAACAAACTCAGGAGGAATCTTTCAGTTTAATTGAGAAGCTCTGAGCCTCCCAGAATGTGTATTGTGTGAACTGACTTCCAATGAGCATTGGCCCTGAGCAAGGGTCGTCCTTGGCCCATAGAGTCCGCCTTAGAGTGCAGTCCTAATGATTGTGTAAGAATTCTTGCAAAACTGCAGCAAACTGGATTGCTTTTCAGAATATCCTTTCAGTACTCAACGTGTTGGCTTCATGCCGAGAGAGATGGTGGCTTTGGAGAAACCGGCACCAGAATACTCAAGTCCTGGCTACTTTGTGTACAGAAGAATCACTCTTTCTTTAGGCTCCGTTCCTTCTCTGCAAGACAGCGATGGTGATAAAGCTCACCTCCAGATCTCATGTCAAGATGGCTGTGAGCAAGTGGAGTTGTTTCTACCAGGGAGAAGCCGGCACTTCAGTTTTAGTAAATCCAATTTCCTTGGGAGCGTGGGTAAAGGAAATGGCAACTTCACGTCCTCTGGGCCCTTTGGCCAATCAGTGGGCTGCGCTTTATGCACAAGGAACATCTGTAGCTTTTTAACAGATTCAAACAGCATTCTGGTTCCCCAGGCTCCTCAGGGTTCACCCTAAGGGAGCCCCTTGGCCTGAAGAGGGACCAGCAGCTGCTTGCAGGCAAAGACCAGTTCCCACCTCCGGTCACTCCCTGGATACTGCGCACGGCTGCTGCCTCCCAGCAGCGTGAACTGGGATGCTTGGGTGGGCAGCGAGAGCTTGAATATTTTATGTATCTCGCTTTCCGATTATACAAAACAATTCAACAAGCCTAGTAGTAGGAAGCTAAATTGATGGTCTGGCAAAGGATTGAACAGAAAAACCTAAATATCGGGGATTTAAAAAACACACACACAAAAACCTTGCTCAGTTTGGGTGCTTGGGAGCTTGGCTTACTTTTCACGATGCTCTGCTACCATCTGGCTTGGGTTTTCTTCAGGCAAAAAACTGCATGCTGATTTTGAACTAATGGCGTATCTCGGATGCCTTTGTAGACACATCCAGCTACTTCTAAATAAATGGCGCATGAAAATTTGTGTTCATGCTCAGGGCAGGGCAGCTCGTTCCAGAAATGTAGGCAGAATCGGCAAACTGTCCCCCAAAAGAGGGCTTACCCCCGAGAAACCGCTTTCCTGAGCTAGCCAAGGCTTCTGAATTTCCGGTAGGGGGAGAGCAGATGGGTTGGGGTGTGAGCTACAGAGCAAACTGCAGAGTTTCCTTGACATGTTTGCTCTATGGAGTTGGTGACGGGACTTGGGGCCCTCTTGAGTGTCCTCTGCCATTTTCTTGCCTTTTAGTTCTTTGAACAGCTGTTTTCTTCTTTGTTTCCACCTGCAGAGGCAAAGTGTAAAACACCCCTACACATTCGTTTGCGCTAGAACTGGCCTCAAGGTGGCGCGTCAGCACAGAGAATGGCCGTGGCCGTGCTCACCCCGGGCCACCATTTCTGAGGGTTTCATTATATAAGGGAATTCACAGAAATCGGACTTCTCCATAGAGGGAAGACCTGGCCTTTGTCACTTCAGTGGGACACTGCAGAGGTCAGGGGTTGGCGAAAGCTCTTAGTTCCAAGCAACATAACACAGGCTCAGGTTCCGGCCACAGCAGCGCAGAGCAGCTTGGCCAGGGCAGCAAGGGGTGGGCTTGGCCTGCTGGGAGAGGAAGCCCAGAGCCCAGCTTTGTCC